TGTTTGGTCTGCTCTCTAATAAAGAGTAATGAACACATTTAGAAGCAAAGATGAAAAACAGAGAATGGCACTATAAGATATGAAATGTGTCTATAGATCTGGGAAGCTGGTCAATAATATCAGGTCTTCCATAGTATACTTTCCCTCAGGTTACACTGCAAAAGCAGATCTGTTTTATCCTTTGAAACAATTATCATTGAGTATCAAATCAATGAACAGCAGGAGTGTGAAGAGATTCAGTGGTTCATATTGTTGTCTTTTTCTGCTTAGAAATCTCCCTCTTTGTTGACTTAGTGATCAAGGAGAGCCAAGGAAACCCCATGTAGAGACGAAGATCTGTTGAGGTCTATTATCAACTTGAACAAACTCAATATCCCCCTTCATTGGAATTTTATCACCATCGGAGGTTTCTCATAGGGAACGAATTCACTTTCATTAGGTCCGTGGGCAAGCACCTTCAATTCTTGTCATCTCCTGCTATGCATGGGGAGATCCACTCCATCAGATACCTCAGCGAACAAAACAGATCAATGGGCCAGTTTAGTGTAATGTAGCTTCCTGTGTTCCATTAAAGATCTTACAATAAAGGTTTCAGGAAAGCAGTTGGAAACTGTGGGTTAGTGAGTTGGAAGAGAAGAGCAAGACAAATGATTAGGGGGCTGGAGGCTAAAACATATGAAGAATGCTTTGAATGAATTGGGTATGTCTAGTCTGGGGAAAAGAAGGACATGGGGTGACATGATAACAGTCTTCCAGTATTTGAGGGGCTGGCACAAAGAAGAGGGAGTCAACCTATTCTCCAAAACACCAGAATGCAAGACAAGAAATAATGGATGGGAACTATCCATTATAGAGGGAGGAGAAAAGCAATCTGGAATTAAGGAGAAATTTCATGATAGCGAGAGGAGTTAATCAATGGAACAGGTTGCCTCCAGACATTGTAGGAGCTCCATCACTGGAGGCTTTCAAGAAGAGACTGAACACACACTTGTCTGGAATGGTATTGGGTTTCCTGCTTGAGCAGGGAGTTGGACTAGAAGACCTCCAAGGTCCTTTCCAACTCTTGTTATTCTGTATGAAATACTGAACAATCCCAATAAATCTGCCTTTGCCAGTTTGGATAAAGCTCTAAGGCAGCCCAGATCTAAGTTCTCAAAGCAATTAGGACCTATTGTAGATAGCAAAGCTAGGATAGCAATTTTACAGGCACTTCAAACATCTCCATCACCAGTTGAACCGATGACTTCATGAACATCTCCATGTAGATTTTCGGCAACATGACAGGAGCATTTTGCAGATGGCTCCTTCTGAGATGCTTCCCTCTTCCCAACCTGCTCTACAGTTCTCAAAGTCTGTGACATTAACCCATCAGATCCAACGTTGCTTAGCTTCTGTGTCAAAGCAACCTCAGCCTGGTGCCATCTGCCCAACCAAACAAGCATTGCAAATTTTGGTGATGACACAATTCTGGCATCTGTTTGGCATGTCCTTCATTTAAGGCTATGATCCTGAAGTATGGGTGAAAAGTCTTCTGTGCATAATACAATCACACACACACATACAAATACATACAAGGAAACTTCAAAATAAGTTGGGAAGAGTTAACACAGTGCAAAGAACACTCTTGTTTTTATTGATTGCTGTGACCCACCTAAGGCCATTTATATGAAATTGGTGATCATATAAATTCAGTAAAGGAAAAACAATAGAGGAAGAATTTAATTGTTAGAATCTTACTGTGGTGACACTGAAAACTGTAAGGTAGCATCATTTCAGGAGGCTGTCTGGTATACCTTGGAATGAGCCTAGATTATTACTTTTATCTATATTGAACAGAAGTCTATACATTGCACTACCTAATCTGATGATAATTTACTACTTCCTTTTTCATAGCAAGGATACCGTTCCAACTGCTTGTATTAGATGAGTACAGATTTCACTACATTAGAAGCTGCCCAAAGCTCTTGTTGGATTTGAGAAAGACTGGGGGACAGAAAAGCAATTTGTCGTGCCTTCTGATCTCTCTCTGATTCTCTATTTGCATATCTACCATCTATCCATCTGTCTCATTTTCTGTCTGTCTCTCCATCCATCCATGATTTTTCATAAATAATCATGAAAATTATATAGGGGCAAAATGATTCCCTTCTCTTTTCCTAAACATGTAATCAGAATCAGAATAGAGCTAGAAGGGACCTTGGAGGTCTTCTAATCCAATTCCCTGCTCAAGCAGGAGACCCTGGACTATTTCAGACAAGTGGCTGTCCAATCTCTTCTTCAAATCCTCCAATGATGGAGCATCCACAACTTCTGGAGGCAAGCTGTTCCACTGGTTAATTGTTCTCACTGTTAGACATGACCAAATGCCAACATGGTTGAACTCTGTAACATATTAATAAAGCAAACACAGAGTTATCTTCAATCTCCTCCCTTTTCCGACACCAATAAGCTGTACTTCATGTTGTCCCCAAGCCTCATTCCAAAAATTGAATGCAACTCAGGGATCAGATCAAAAGCTTTTGAAAATTGTTCTGAACAGGAAGATGAGGGCAAAAACCTAACTTTGAAGCAATCGGGCCACAGAGTCACAATCACACCTTGATCTCATGGAATGTTGCCTGCTGAAATCTGACTCTACAGATGAAAAGATGAGCAGTTATATAAATAAGCTGGTTGCTCCTACAAAGGATCCAGCTGTTAAAAGGTTGTCATGCAGACACATCTGGAGCAAGCACAAGGAAGGCCACAGTTGCATCTGAGCCTTTGAAAAGTCTGCACTGAAAAAAAAATCAATTCAATTTAAGCACAGAATAAATGTTTACCTTCCCTCTTGATGTGAGCATTTTCAGATCAAAGATTTATGGCCTTACTTAGAAAAATGACATGGCCAAGTTGGCAGCTGGCCCTTCCCAAACTCTTAGGTGGAGATCTGAATGCCATGCCAGAACCAAATTATTCAGCTTACTGTTTAAAATGTCCAGCACTGCCCGCCAAACAATAATGAAGTTGCTTATTTGGCATCCTCCAATCCAAAGAAGAAAAATAATCATACAGGGTTTTGTCTGTCTTGATACGTCTTGTAAATTAGGTCTCTTGTGATCTAAACATCATTGAGAGTAAGGGCAGGCCATGTTGGTCTTCACATATGGTCAGGGATTATATTCAGGATTATTGAATACCTCCTCCTCCTCCTCCTCTTGATGGCTAACATAGAACAGAATTAAATGATCCTTATTAGGGAGTAGGGGATTCCTTGCTCAAGAGATAGGACACAACTTTTTGTGATACTTCCAAAGCTTAATCCATGCTTCAACTCCATTGAAAAGATTCTTGTGATAGATTTTCCCAGACACACACACACATACACACACACAAACAGAAACCTTTCCTCTAGTCCTGACATAGTTAACTCTCTCCTTGCTATTAACAATACCCAAGTGAAACTCTAGTAGATCCATGGCCCGCCTTCTTAATAATGAATAAAGGTGATGCATTGTACGAAGCTGCCTTAATAATTTATACAGTAATATCAAGGAAAGACTAACTGCAGAAGTGTGGAGAAAATATAATGTCCTGGGAAATGAGTTTTAGCTGCATTGATGCTATAACACTAAAGTTAAGCTCTGAGAAGCCCAAGCATTAGAAATGTAAAGGTTTAATAGTATATACAAGTGTTTTCCCTCAGTCACATGTAAGTTATGTTTTTGAAGCTCTAACAATTTACAGTTCCCCTCTGCTAGCTCTGAGAAAGAGAGGGAGAGAGAGAGGGAGTAAGCTTTAACAACAGTCATAACAACTAATGCAAACTTAAAGTAGAATGAGAAGGAAAAAAGAGAAAGGAAGAAATCAAAGGAAAAAGTTAACAATGCAAAAAAGAAAGAGAAAAAGAGAGAGAGAAGAAGGAAAGAGGAGTAAGGTAGGAGTAAGGAAGATAGGCAGTGAGATGGGAGGGAGGAAAGGAAGTGGGAGGAAGGAAATAAAGTAGGAAGGAAGATACAAAAATTAATTTCTGATATTCAATCTTCATATTAGTTGCATAAGTTCAATTAAATTTTAACCTCTCTCTTAAAGGCTATGCCATGACTCTCTTCTTTCTGCAGTCTATCCTGTTTAATCATCAAAGCCATGAATCACAAGTTTCTTTTTGTTTCTTTTTTTTACACAAAAACGGTCCCTAAGAAATCTCCATCATTGATAAATGCAGACACTTCTCTAATCAAACAAGCCAATTTAGCCATGATGTCACCAATTCAACAATCCTCCCTCCGTTTTTAGATATTTCCCAACCTTTCCATCTTCTTCATGTGTAAAAGGTAGCAGTTCTCAGATTAAAACACGCGTCCCACATCTCTTTCATAACTTTTTTTTTTTAATCCATCAGCCTCTGGAGGAAAAGTTCTGCTTTTAATTGAATGTTCATCTTTGCATCACTGTGAAGTATTTGAAGCCTCAGGTTTTCTAGCTTGTGGAGATCTTGTTGCTCTCTGAGCTTGGTTGCATTTTTGCAGATGTTTGTAAACCCAGTTAGGTAACGAAATGTCTGTGTGAAAATCACCAAGCTCAGAGAGCACCAAGGACTCCCCAGTTCAACCTTGAACTATAAAAATCCTCTTCTGCTTTCTAGTCCAGCATGCATGATAACATGCCCCTGCTTGTGGTTGACGTGCCCAACATAAATCTGAAGTGCCCTTAAACATTCTTGATAAATTTTCTGCTGTCATATACCAACACCATATATCCTTTTATAAAAATTCTCCTTAGGATTATACAGAATAACAGCATTGGATGGGACCTTAGAGCTCTCTTCTAATTCAACCTCTTGCTCAGCAGGAGACCCTATACACAATTTCAGATAAATTTACATAATTTAAATTTCAATCCTTTCAACCACACATTTTTTTTAACACGGTACTATCTCTCATTGCTACATTATCACCACAATTTTTAGCCCATTGATCATACATTCTCTGATCTGTTCTTCTTCTTCTTCTGTTTGAAATTTCAATACAAGTTTAAATATTTTAGTAATTATATGTTCATCATTTGTACATAATTCTATATCGAAGTCTGTCGGTATCATCAACTCTTTTGTCTACTTTCAATGTTTCTGATAAGTGCAAATAAGAAAAATCATAGAAAATTATGACCCCTTGCCATCATTTCGCTCTTGATGTTATTTTATATTCTCTTTGGTTGAATTCTAGTGTCTTGTGATAACTGCCTCTGCTAGATTTGCTTAGAATCCCTTTTTTTGCTTCTATTTGAAAAGCAGGGAAGAAAGCAAAGAAAATAGATCTAAGAAAGAAATATTATTTTTGATAAGAGCAATTCAAGGTGACCACCAATAAAAAAAATAATTAATTAGTTAATTAAAGATTCCTTGAAAATAAGCCAGGAGTTTTGACTATGGTAGTCAATGCATATTAAGCCATTTTAAGTCAGGTTTTTAAGGGGAGATTGGACAACATTTGCCTAAAAGGCTAAAGGGTCTCCTGCTTGAGCAGCGGGTTGGACTAGAAGACCTCCAGGGTTCCTTCCAACTTTGTCATTCTGTTATTCTGCAAGTCAAAGGGATGGTTGTAAAAATGTGATTGGCTTTTCAACCAAATTAAATTAAATTAAATATCAAATTAAACTAAATATTAAATTACATTATTAAATTTGTACCCAATCACCTTGGTATATAAAGAAAATCTGCTTTCTGTATTTTACTAGAATGGGGAAAAATCTGTTTTTCTTTCACACCAACTCATTTTATTCCATGCAGTTAAAACTTTATGCCTGTTTTAACACCAAGAATGGAAAATGGAACACTAAAGTGTGAAAACGTAAAGGGGGGGGGGGGAATTGGAAACAATGAAGGAAGCCAGACTACATAAATATAGCCTAGCAACTGAATGATGCTGTCAACATAACTAACAAGATGTAATGCAACTAACAAGCTGGTTAAAGTTATCATTAGCTCATGCCTGGCTTTAAATAATGCAGAGAGAACTTGGCTACATTTTGTATAATGGTTGAATGCAACCCCGAGAATAGAAGGGGACATAAAAATCAACTCTGCAACCTGGAAATTTTGATAAACCAAGCTTATTTTGCACATCCCCAGGAAAGCCATGCATTGCAAGACATAGTACCCATTTCAATTGCACTAAAACTAAAAAGGCATGACCAAAAATGAGCTTATTATTATTTTTACTCACTGAAACCTGTTCTTTAAAATTTTAAAGTACAATTAAGATTTTCATGAAGGCCAAACCCATTCCAACGTAGTTTAGTCAAAGCTGTGGTTTTCCCAGCAGTGATGGCTGGCTGGGAGAGTTGGTTGGACCATAAGGAAGGCTGAGCACCGAAGAATTGATGTTGTTGAGGTTGTGGTGTGGACTCTTGAGAGTCCCTTGGACTACAAGGAGATCCAACCAGTTGATCCTAAAGGAAATCAACCCTGACTGTCCTTTGGAAGCTGAAGCTCAAATACTTTTGGCCGCCAGATGGGAAGAGAGGGCTTCTTGGAGAAGACCCCAGATGGTGTCATTGATGGACATGAATTTGGACAAATTCTGAGAAATAGTGGAGGACAGGGTGGGCCTAGCATGCTGTGGTCCTTGCGCTCACAAAGAGTTGGATATGACTTGCCAACCAACCAACCAAACAAACAAAAAAATATCATTCCAGTTTCCCAACCGTCTGCATTTCTTAAGTAACTACTTAGAGTCCTTGGCAGGAAAGGAAAGGAAAGAAAAGGAAAGGAAAGGAAAGGAAAGGAAGAAGGGGAAGGGAAGGGAAGGGAAGGGAAGGGAAGGAAGAAGGGGAAGGAAAGGAAAGGGAAGGGAAGGGAAGGGAAGGAAAGGAAGAAGGGGAAGGGAAGGGAAGGGAAGGAAAGGGAAGGGAAGGGAAGGGAAGGGAAGGGAGGGAGAGAAGGAAGGAAGGAGGGAAGGAAGGAAGGAAAAAAGAGGGAGGGAGGATTAAGATAGGCAGTGAGATGGGAGGGAGGGAGGAAGGAAGGTTGTGAAACACTACTCTGGACAATACAGGCAACTGAATAAGGCAGATATTAATATAAGAGATTACCCTGATTATAATACATTCGGCATTCTCAATACTTCAGCTCTCAGAGTTTATTAATTGAGACACTGACAGCTGTGTAATGTCTTTGGATTATTCATTTGCAAACCATTATGTCGAATAGACTATCTGCAACATTTTATTTTGTTCTGTTTCTGGGGGCTAGTTTATCAGAATGAAAATATGTGTCCTTAATACGTTCAATTGATTAAAAAATATGTGCCTTCCCCAATCAATAATGGCCTCCATCAATTAAGCAGATTAAACTACTGATCACTGAACCCATTAAAACCTGCAGCCCAAATAGTTTGGAACTCTGCTTTCCATTTGCTTGGGTCGAACCCTTCTCTTCAACTAGATGTTGCTATCAGTTTTGAGATTGACTGATAAAACTATTAATGGCAAATCATATTAATAATGGCCCAGCTTGCAAAGGTGTTAATTGGATCCTATTTGAAATGCCACAGAGCTTTATCTTGCAATTTATAAATAACCCAAGATGGTGAACATACCAAATACTCCTTCCTTCTATTCTCCTCACAATAACAATGCTGTGAGGGGCATTGGGCTAAGAGACAATGTCCAAAGTCACCCATCCAGCTTTCATGCCTAAAGTTACAAGCCAGCTTTTGCTTGAAAACAGACAGTGAGAAGAATCACACCATAATCTCCTCCATGACTGGTTCTACCTAAAATGACAATGGTAGTTGTGTTTTTCCCCCCCAAAATGAGTGTAAGAAATGGAATAGACACTTATTGTTCCATAGGAAGACCACAAATCAGTAAACAATGCACGGGCTGTGATCAAGCTTCCTGTACATTCATAAGAAGTCTTCTGACTAGTCACAGATAATAGAATTTTTTTTACAATAAAAATACAATATGCACAAAGGGCCCATGTTTAAAGACGTTCATCTCCTGAACTCAGAATTAGTCTCCTAAAATCTTTGTAGGATGTCTTGAAGATATTGACCCCCACAATATGTATTTTGTTTTTGATTTGTTACGACGTTCTAATCATAAATTGAAACCTCCCAGGACTTTTGTATGGAGCTGTCCAGCAGGGAACTTCATTTTGTAGCAGTCTATCACCATCTTGTGTTCTGTCTAGAGCACTGCAATTTTACTGGATTTTTTTTCATTTTTTAACAAGTTACGCTATCCTGCCATATGGGTAATTCTGTAATTTTTTCCCCCCAGTGTTGAGTATTTGCATTTTCTCTCCATTGCATAGGAAAGAGATAACTGTTGAACTTATATCACTTTCTGCATTTTGATCTTTCACTTACCAGACACAGGGTTTACTCATAGACAAATTTAGGCAACTTTGGAGAATAGTCGGTGGCAGCAAAATTACCAAATCTTCTCCCAAATCAGAGATGGTAAAGGAGATTTGGGATTTCCAGCCTTTCATCTTTCAATACAATCATCATCATCACCAAGCATTTAATTTATGTTCAATCTTTCCGACTAGAAGGCTTTGAAAGTAGCTGAATATATATATATATATATATATATATATTCGGTCCTTCCTGATGCTTATGCAGAGTTCACAGAAGACAATAACTCATGGCAGAAATATCTGGCACTACCTAGGATCAAACTCACAGCCTCCTGAATGTAATGGGAGAGTGTCACCACATTGCTCTAAAGTAGCTGATAGTAATATTTTCAAAGAAAAATTAAAACAGATGAAATGCGTCTTCAAAGCAGAAAGAGCAAAATATGTTTGAAGAAATCATATTCTATAGCTATAAACGATGCTGCGCTTCAATGGTTGGATGGCCTAGACATTGGTATTTGAACATAGATCTTTTTTAACTTTAATATGTTATTGTATTTTACTAATCTAGGTGAAATGTTACTATATTTTGCTAGACCATGTAGGATATGCCATATGCTAAATAATACATGCGGAAGACCTTATTCCATCCATCTGTGAAACAGGCCTTGGAAACTGAACCCCACTTCTTTGTAGCACTGATGATGTTATCTAGTTAGGTAATGAAATGTCTGAAGAAAACAACCAAACTCAGAGAGAGACCCATAATTCTCCTCCTCCTCCTCCTCCTCCTCCTCCTCCTCCTCCTCCTCCTCCTCCTCCTCCTCCTCCAACCACTCTCCCTTCTCGCATAGATAATGTTACCTAGTTTTGGGTCATGAAACATCTTCAAGAAAACAAGAAAGCTCAGAGAGCACCAAGGACCCCAAATTTCAACCCTGAGCTACAAATATTCTCCTTTTTTGGTAATGTGAATATTCTCCAACAAATCACCTTGATGCAACATGTGCAACCTGATAGTTTGCAGTACATTTTGTATCCATTTCGAGCAACTGAAGCATTCAGCTTCTCAATGAACTTCATTTATGAGATAGTTTTCCTTTAAGCCATGAAGAACAACAATGGTGTGGTTGAATTATTGTATATACAGCTGTTCCGTTTGCCAGCAAAATTGAAAGAAATGTAGTAGCATCTGTGTGCTTCTAAAGAAATATACCAGGCTGAGATTTCCTTTATTTTGCCTCTTTTTCTCTATGACAAAGATTGACATTCTATACCTTAGTTTTTGTCGTGCTTTTTATTTATAACTGTTTGGTCTGGCATTATGAAAAATGTGTGTGTATGTGTGTGGTTCCTTGTGTGTGCAATTTGGGGAAAAAAAATGAATACAACCACAATATAATATGGTTTCTAATTAATTAATCATTTGAATTATATTTACCCTCCTAAGAAATGTAGCATTTTGTTACTTTCTATTGTGTATGGAGACTTGCAAAAATACTACCCTTCTATCTATGCTGAAACGCAAATCACATACTTCAAATTATCCTTCCTATTCACCGGGTTAATTTCCAATTTTCCTTTTATAATTTGAAGGCAACTCAGTTGAATTCAGTGGAACGCAGCCATGCTATAATGTTTGCCAGTACCTTTGCTTTGTTAATGAATTTTCCTCTCCTTGACAATTTAAAACTAGCAATTAAAAGAAAAAAAGAAAAACCATTTTGAAGGAGTGGATAATCCATGATTTGCCAAGCTGCCTCATAAATTGTGGTTCAAAGCAACAAGAAAGTTCCTTGCTCCGTCTTTAGCTCCTTTGTGAAGAAAATTGAAATAAACTTTTCATAGCAGGAGATTCAGGATGAAAAGAAATGATTTTTCACGATCTTAGTTTACCACCCGTTCATCTACTAGCTTATCCAAATTAGACTGTATAAAATTTAAGGGGAGCTAAGTGATTCTCCAGCCTTAAGGCTCAACCCTAAGGTTCAACCTCTGGGTCAAGTTTATAATAGGGGACTAGAATTCATTGCAAAATTATCTTTTATAGATTTTCAGTTGATAGACATGCAGAATAGTTAAGAGAGGAAATTACACCACGTACATCACATTCCTTACAGCCAAAGTCATTTTTCCAATAAATATTTGAATATAGAATCGAAGTATTTATGTGTTTGATTTGCTGATAATGTTAAATTCCTTTCATCTTGGTATGTTACAGAGGAAATTACATAAACTGCAGACTTTCAAATTCAGTGAGTTCCAGGTAGGTCAAAGAGATGTATACAATCTTATGGTATCTGTCAACATCAGTAAATTGATTAAAAACAATAAGTATATTTGCTTTTTGATGTGAACTTACCCACTATGTACTGTGATGACCTGGAGTGTACCACAAATATAACAAAAACCAAAATGTAAATTAAGGTCCTTTAATGCCTTCAACTTGGCTTTATTGTTCAATTTTTCACAGTTGGAGATTAAACTATTTTCAAAATAACATTCCGAATGAGAGAAATACAGTTCAAAATCAAAGAGCAGGTAACGAAGCAAAAACCAAAAACAAACTGCACTGAAGAAAGTTCCACCAACAGACCAGGATAATTAATTACAAACTTCAAGAAAATAATGAGGTACAGTCCGTTGGAAGAACGCCAACAAAGATAAACCTCATCCAGGAAAAACCACTCTTTGTCTTCAGCGTTTGCTAGCATGCAGGTCTAAACTCTTATGCAGATCTCATACCTGCAACCCATGAAGAGGATCATGGCCCTCTCCTCCCGAGTAGACCATGTTTTTCCCTAATCCTCTCCTCCCTGGGTGCCCTAGGATGGATACGGGATGGGCCTGGGTCCTCCTCTGACTGCTCAGCCAGCCTCTGCCCTTCCCCAGCCTCCTCCACAACCTCTGGAGCCACACTTCCACTCCCTGTTGGCTGTTCCTCCTCTCCTTCAGAGTCAGTCTCCACCAGGGGCATGACACATACTTTCTAAATTAGCCAGGAGTAAGAGTGGGCAGAACTTTGACCGGAGGCCTCTAGCAATGACCATGGTTGTCATCTACAAAAGGAAAACCAGAAACATTCCAGAAGATAGTAGTGGCAAGCTATCTCCAGAAAAACAACATGGATGAAAGCTCCAATTGAAAGAGACTCGGCTTACAATGCTGCAGAAATCTATAGTTTCTTTTTGTGTTGCAAAGAATACAACTTCTGATTTGGCTAGGAATCCCAGGGAGGAGGAAAATAAATGATAATCCTAATGAACAACCTGCGTTTTATTTGGTGCTATGGCCTTCTGGAGAAGAGTTGTTCATTTAGGTAAGAGGAGCATACAATGATGGTTAGTCTATGCTGGAACGTGGGGCAGATACCGTCTATGCAATAAATTGGAGAAGAGAACAAAAGCTAAGGAAAGAGAGAGAATGGTGGTGGCAGCAGCTGTTCAGGTTGTCATCCATTTGTGTCTGACTCTTGGCGATTTTGTGGGCCAGGTCTCTCCACATCTTCAGATCTTGAGTTTTCCTATGCTCTGGTTGGTGTCAGTTTTGATGGTGTCCAGGTACCATGTTCTTTGCTAGCCTTCCTTCCTTTTACTTCTAACTCTTCCAATCATAATTGCTTTCACCGATGGATCCCCCTGCATAGACATGGCCAAAATAAGTGGGACACAGTTTTGTGATTTGGATGAGAATGACGCCATATCAGGGCAAATCCAAGCAAGACTAAAATCTGGTCCTTTCACCAAGGACTTTCCATCTAAGTCGAAACATAAACGGGTCCTTGCGTTCTAAGGCATCATTTAAAGATGCCACAATGAACTTTAATTTCCCCAAATTTAATGAAATGAAGATGAAGAGAAGAGAATACAAAGGTGTTCCTCCAAAAATGCCAGAGAGGAGGTGTGTATAGATCCTGCACAAGACAGATTTCAGGGATAAAGAGCAACACCAATAAAAAAAAGCATTTTGTATGATAGCCACACCATATAATGTAAACTTCCTCTTGGCAAATTTTCCCCCCTGTTTTTTTTTTTTTAAAGCCACTCAACTGTAAATCTTACATGAGTCTAGAATATACGACTCATTTACACATCTGAATTAAGCATGTTGGTAATTAACATAAGTCAACATGTTGTATTGCTCTCCAGGAAGACAAACTGGGTGTTTTCATTGAGAGAGAAAATAGAAAATCACAGGCAAGGCTGCAACCAAGACTGTTGGCGTAAAGGACAATCGAGGTTTTTCTTTCTTTTTGTTTTCCGTGTGAAAAAGGAAAAGTTAACCACACAATGTTTTCCTTTAACACTGAAGGGAAGAGGATTTTTTTAAAAAAGGAACAGAAGTTTTTTTTTTTAAAGGAACATTTATTGAATGTTTCAAAGTAACACAGGAATACAGGTAGCCTTTGACTTACAACAGTTCATTTACTGACAGTTCAAAGTTACAACAGCCCTGAAAAAAAGGGAATTATGACTGTTTTTTTACACTTATAACTATTGCAATATCTCCATGGTCACCTGATTAAAATTCAGATGCTCTGCAACGGAGCTGGCTCACATTTATGATGGTTGCAGTGTCTCTGGAGTCACATGACACTCTTTGGCGACCTTCTGACAAGCAAAGTCAATGGGGAAGCCTGATTTACTTCAATTGTGTTGATGTTGTGGCCTGCCAGCAGACTCCGACAGTGAGGAGGTTGGGGAGGAACATGGGCCAGTCCTGGAGTCTGAGGAAGGCTCTGACGAGGGCTCTGCATCAGAGGAAGAGATGGGGCCAAGGGCTCTCTGACAGTTATCAGCTGCCTGTCAGAGATCAGTAGGGAAGAAGAACAGCTGGAGCCTGTTCCCAGTGTGTGCATGCGCAGAGCTGCCAGGAGAAGGGAACTGTTAAGGAACAAGGGTCGACTCGGGAGTAAGGGCTCAGGTGGATGATTGATGATCCAAACTCTGTCAAGGTTCTTAGAGTACTCATCTCTAATGACCTAAGTGCTAGAGCCCACTGCAACTACATAGACAAAAAGGCATTAAGAGTTGTTAACCTAATCTTACTTAGCTTTTTCTCTGGTAATATTACACTACTAACTAGAGCATACAAAACATTTGCTAGACCAATACTCGAATACAGCTCATCAGTCTGGAACCCACATTACCTATCTGATATTATTAACACAGTTGAGAAAGTCCAGAAATATTTCACAAGAAGAGTTCTCCACTCCTCTACTCGTTGCAGAATACCTTATGCCACCAGACTCGAAATTCTAGACCTAGAAAACTTAGAACTATGCTGCCTTCGGCCCTATCTAAGTATACTATATATAATCATGCATTGCAATGTCCTACCTGTCAATGAATACTTCAGCTTCAACCATAAGAATACAAGAGCAAACAATAGATACAAACTCAAGATTAACCGCACCAAACTTGATTGCAGGAAATACGACTTCAGCAACAGAGTGGACAATGTCTGGAATACTCTACCTGACTCTGTGGTTTCTTCCCCAAACCCCAAAAACTTTAACCTTAGACTGTCTACTATTGACCTCACCCCTTTCCTAAGAAGTCTGTAGGGGGCGTGCATAAGCGCACCAATGTGCCTATCGCTCCTGTCCTATTGTTTCTTTTATTTTCTTTTATTTTTCTTATATATATCCATGTATTCATAACTATGTTTTTACTTATACCTATAATCTTGTAAACAATTGACAAAAATAAATAAATAAATAGATAAATAAATAAATAAATAGTGAATGGCCCCTCCCAGAGGGAATAAAAGAGGAGCAAAAGGAGAGTGGGGTTTGCAGGAGACAATTAGTTCAATTCATTAGGGTGAAGATCTGTTCCTGATTTATTGCCAAGTATTGTCTGCTACAGCGTGGCGTTTGGAAGATATCAGGCTGGCAACTCTCCAAGCCTGGTAAAGGTCTGTAGATGTGCAATCTCTTGAAAGACTGTTGGCTGGGACTTTGCTGGAGAGGAAGTCACTGTAAAGTAAATAAAAGGGGTTTATCAGGACGAGGAGTCGGCTTTGTGCTGTTGGGGAAGGCTAGGTCAGAACAGTTGCTGACTTAACAACTGCAGTGATTCACTTAACAAACTGCGGCCCGAAAGACCTGAAATGGGGCAAAAGTCAAGGGTCTTGCTTAGCAGCAGCAATGTGGTGCTCAATTGTTGCCGTAAGTCAAGGACTACCTATATATGATACGCCTTGATTAAAAAGGGAAATGCATAAAAGAATGAACAGGCAACCTGTCTTGAGCATTTGCAATCCTAAACTTTACTTGAGACCAAGTCTCATTGAAGTCAGTGGTGCTTACGCTCAGGTAAATGAGCTTCTGGCTGTAGCCTTTGGAACAGGAAATGCTCCTTGATAAAACTCTACAGAGGCAGTAGCTAGCTTGCAAAAAACAAAACAAAACAAATTAAATTAGAGTACAGTTAGCATTGCATTCACATAGCTGGCTTCCTAATCCAATTATTCTGATTTAAAGGAAGAATGCAACATATTTTTCTAAAGCTCGTGGTGGAGAAATTGCATTTACATTGTGCCTTTTTATAATGTGAAATGTTTGGACAATCCAGAGTGGGCCTCTAATTTAGAAGGATATAAATTGGATTCCTGAAAATCACAGCCTACAATTTTTTTTTTAAATTTTTGTTATTTGCTTCTATATAAATCTCCTCCCGGAATTAGAAAATGAACTGTAGATCTGGTCGGTATTGATCCATTGTTGCATTCATAACAACACGGAGACCGGGAGATGGTGATTAATCACAGCCACAACCTCCAACTGTATCCTGAAAGGGAGCTATCGAGAGAAAGGATACGTGGGAGGAAAACGTTAAGAGAAGAAACAAAAGTGAGCTGCAAAGCAAGATCTGGCTATTAGGGATATGGGGATCAGCTTGAATCTGGTTTGCACCACAAGGCATTTTATAAGGGCACACTGGCACACCTTAAACCTGGCCCTCTGCTTTGAGGTCAGGAGCTTTTGTGAACGTTAATCACCAACACCTGGATGCACCACAGCCCTTCCAAAATTGAGCCAACTTATGCCAGACGAGCGCAGGATGGGGTCAAAGGACATCATGTACACATGTCCATTAGGTAGTGCAAAGTTGCATAATTCACATCATTGGTGGAGCAATGATATTCTAATATATGGGGCATTGTCCTGGTCTCACCTGAAAGTTATGCATGAAAACTGGGTTTCCAGAAATCTAGCACCTCCTAGGCATCCAGATATTTGGTATGTGTTGGATATGAAATTCTTCTCCATGGAAGTGAGACCTTGATGGATCAAAAGCTCTTATTTTCTATGTGCATCTCTAGCCTTCCTTCCTTCCTTCCTTCCTTCCTTCCTTCCTTCCTTCCTTCCTTCCTTCCTTCCTTCCTTCCTTCCTTCC